TTTTCACGAGCATTCTACGAGACTACCATAATCGTCATTATGAGAATAATGAATATAATCTTATCTATTATATTCTATACAAATGAATGCAAATAATACGTGGGCGTTAAACGGTGACGTTTGTGCAACATTTTTATGCTTCTCGTTTATCGACATGAATTCGATCAAAGTAATACTTTTGAAAGCTTAAGGTGTAGTACATTTAATGCACGATTAACATACAATCGAATCGTCTAATCTCTCTGTAAAAGGTGACTCAGCTTGGCTTTAGCAACGATTACTTAAAAAGAAAAAGAAAAAGAAAAAAGAAAAAAAGAAAGAAAGAAAAGGAAAGAAAAAGAAAGAAAGAAAGAAAAAAGAAAAAAGAAGAAAAAATTAAAAAATAAGAAGGAAAATTGCTTAGAAATCCTTGGCCCCTTAGTTGTAGTAACACGAGACACTTGAAAATGATCAAATCGATCTACCAATAAATCTTGTCATTAAGAAGCGTGAAATCGATTAAAACTATCCGTATCTAAATCCATGTATATTCTAGTCGTTGTACTAATAGTAAGTTTGATTACGTATAAATTTTTTACCTTTCTTCTAATCAAATTTTATGGAATCCTATCAAATGAAATACTTTGATTGAAGCGTTGATAAAAATATACGTATAAACAATATAAATATAAATGTAAATATAAGTATATCGAAGAGGAAATATCATTTATTTGTATTCTTAGAGCTTTATCCAATTTAAGAAGTAACTTCGTCGACGGGAATGTTACATGTGACACGCAGTTATGAAAATCAGGACGCGGAAAACGCGTACCAATGCGTTTACATACGATCGTTGACTTGTCTCTATCTCTCTCTCTCTCTCTCTCTCTCTCTCTCTTTCCCTATTCTTTTTCTTTTTCTCAATCTTGATAACATATCAAAGATAATAATATAATTTATTGACAATTTAATCTTATAATTATGTAAAAAGCAAAATGAAAATGTTAAATTTGCGATAAGTATAATGAATTTTATTAAAAAAAATCCCACAATAAAATATAAATACAAATATAAATTTATAAAAATAAAGGAATAAAGAAAAATTTCAAGTGCTACATGTTATCGAGAGAGAAATTTTCATTTAGATTTGATTTTATTTACTTTTTATTAGAATTAATTACATGTTTCGTAGATATTTAATATATGTATATATTTAAATACTTCGTATGTAATTAATTCTATCGATGGTTTAACGTGATTGGCCGATGATGATCGAACGTAAACACGTTCCATTTCCTTGAGACAATATTTTCTTACCGGAATGAAATGTCGTTATTATCGTCTTTGTTTTGAATCAAATCAGAAGATGTTACGTAAATTTAAGATCGATTACACGGATCTGAAATTAACGATGTACATACACGTTTGTATATGTGTGTGTGTGTGTGTGTGTGTGTGTGTGTGTGTGTGTGTGTGTGAGTGCGTGCGCGCGTGCTCGCATACATGTATGTATTTATGTATGTATCATACGGAGAAATGAAAAATAAATAATAAGAGTATCGTTACTTGCTTTCCTTCTTAATTTTTTTTATGAGAGTTTACGTAACTCTGATTCGAAATAATGATTTTTAGATTAAGAAAATATTTTTTATATGAACAATGTAACAACGAAATGTTTATATATATCATTTAAATCAAGTACGATTGTTTCAAAAGTTGCCAATGAAATTCTTTTCTTTTTTTTTTCTTTCTCTTTTTTTTTTTCTTCTTCTTTTTCCAACGATATTTTCTTTTTCCTTTTTTTCCTTTTTTTTTTTTTCTTTTCTCTTTTCACTTTCGTCTAAATGTAAAATAATAAATGAAACAATGAAATTCATTATTTTTCATTTCGAATTATTGTTCATTTCGAATTTTTATTCGTATTCACATACGACAAAATCGGCAAAATCGTTCAATCGTTTTCTCTAATTTGTCGAGATATTCTATACGAATGTCGATGAAAGTGCATTAAACGGTCTGGTGCGAATGTATCGTATCGGGTTAGTTATGTAAAGTCGAAAGTTCTCATCGGAAGTAAACCGCGATATGTCCATGTTTTCTACGTTAAATTTTGGTCCATGATATCGAACGCAAATTTTTTCGAAAGAATGAGAAAAAAATAATAAAATAAGTAAATAAAATTAAATATATTTATCGTAATTATAGATTCGATATAATGTATTATCGTAATTACTCGATACCTAAGTATTGCTCGTGGTAACATAAAATGAATTTGAAATAAATATTGCAAATTATATGTCTAAATAGTACACAATGTACGTTTATAGTATGCTATATTCGACGTACATACTATTACATTTAATGTGCGTGTTATATTCAACGTATAATACTATTATATTTAAACGAGGCAATGAAATGAAAAATTAATTATCTTCTTTTTCTTTTATTTTCGTCTGTTTTTTTTTCCTTTTTTTTTTTTTCTTCTTTTTACGAAGCAGAAAAAAAACAGGACAGACAAAAGAAAATAATTATATTCCCTGATGATTATTCGAATTAGCTGACAAGTAACAAGAGGAAATGTCAAAGTAAGGAAAAAAAAAAAAAAAAGAAAAAAAATAAGAAGAATGAAGTATAAAAAGGATCGTAAGACAGATCCAACTATTTGAACGATCGAGTGAATAGAAGATCAATGATTTAGAATTTTGAACGTGAAACGGAACGAACTTTATTATATTATAATGTCTGTTTTTTGATTGGTGTCAAATTATCAAAAAAATCTCCTTCGTTTTTTTTCTTTCAGTTCGTTCGTTCGTTCGTTCGTTCATTTGTTTATTTGGTGTTTCTTGTTTTTCTTTTCGTTTTCTTTTTTTATTTTTTTTTTTTTCTTTTTTTTTTTTCTATCCTTTTTTTCTTCACCCAAATGTTTCGATCGCGATCTCATTAGTTGATTTTTCTTTTTCTTTTTTACATTTTTACGAATATATAAGCATATATCCACGGTGAAAGCAAACGAAAGTACGCTACGATGTTTATTACGTCATGTCGCGATTCAAGGAGGATACAAGAAAGAATTTTATTTCATTTCGTTGATTATAATTATTTCGAATTTATATTATGAGTGTATGCGAACGCGTTAGTATCATTCTTTTCACGTTCGAATGATTTTATCGCTATTCAGAGAATATATGGAAAAACACAATGATCTTAAAACATATTCTTTAGAAACCAGTTTGTTTCATATTTGAAAACGTTTGATCGTTAATAAATAATTCATTTGAAAATGTACATAGTTTTTGAATGTGTCAACTTTCGATTTCATTATATTTGAATCACGTAAATAATACTTCAAAAAAAGGAATAATAAATATCATATTATTTATAATGAGAAATATTTATATAGAATTTTTTACTTGATCATTTTTACTTTGACTCTTCTTTCTTTCTTTCTTTTTTTTTTTTATCTACTCACAGAATAAATTCTATAATGAGATTTAAACCCACGAAATTTTGTACTACTTATATATATATATATATATAATTTTAAGTTACACCTGATTTATAGCCAAACTTTCAATTCGCGATTACCACATTTTTGATATTTTTACGATCATCGATTCTCTCTATGCTCGAACGATCGAGTCAATTATTTAGCGAAATAATTGGTCACGCGTATTGTCTATCGTTCGATGATTTCTTTGTTTTATCTTTTTTTTTTTTTCTTTATTCCTCGATGATATTTTATCTTCGATAAATGGCTTTGACAATATGTACAAATCATTAAAATTTATTATAATTTTTTTTGTTATCTCTGTACATTGAAGATCACCGATGTTTCAGTTATAGGGAGAACCTAGTCTTTCTTTTTGATTATTTTTATGTCTAATATTAAATATAAATATTCGAAGATAAATTATTTAAGATATTCTTTCAAAAGATACCGACGAATTCTTCTTAAACGATCTTGATCTTAATTTTGACAAGTTGATTTTGAAAGATCTACTGGAAAGAATTTTTTTTTTTTTTCTTTAAAGGAAATTATTTGACATATCAACAAATAAAATTATCCTTTTTAACTAATCCCCTGGTAATAGATATTTGTCAAGCTATGTAAGATCATGTTGGAATCACGAATTAATTCGCGTAACAAAATTCTCATCGTCGAAATCTATAGTCGGGTTAGATCAAGCATGAAAATTAGCAAGTGAAATCTTGAATGAATAATTATAACTTTCGAACTTTGCTTTCGTCCCTGTAAGATGACAATAAGCTTATGTTAAATTTTACAATATGATTTAATTAATAATTTTCAAGTTCAGGAAGAATTCAAAGAAAAAAAAAAAAAGAAAAAAAAGGAAACTTCAATTCAATTAATCATGATACAAAAACGACAAGTTCGATCTATTTGCCATAAAGAAAAAAATCGGAAAGTATATTATTTATTTCGAGATGAATAGTTTTCCTTAAAAAAAAAAAAAAAAAAAAAAACAACAACAACAACAACAATACAATCAATCACGCTACAAAAAGAATAAGCCATAAAAAAAAAAAAGAAAAAAAATGGAAAAAGAAAACACAGAACGTGTGTCATTTATTTCGAGAAAGAAATAATTTTGTTCTTTAAAAACAAAGAAAAAAGAAAAATAAATAAAAAATATGAAAGAAAAGAAATAAAAAGAAACCAAAGAAAAAGGAGTGAAGATGAAAGAACATTATATATCTGTCGAATCATTTCTATTTGAAATAGATCGTTAGATACATTATAAATGAAAATTATAGATGAATCTTTTTCGATGTCCCTCATCGAAATGAAAATTCTCTGACAATCGACCGATCGTTTATCAAGATCCCTTCTTCGGGATCCTCGAGAAGTGAGAGAAAGAGAGAAAGGAAGAGAGAGAGAGAGAGAGAGAGAGAGAGAGAGAGAGAGACGACGAATCCAAAGTTAAGTGTAGCGTGGAGGTGGTGCCAGGCTCCTCCTTCTAATAAAAGCCGCTCTCTAAGCGCCGATACACAGACAGTCACAGAAAAGTCGACGAGAACGGGGCCGTCGAGAGCTCCTTTAAGAACATCACTTCTTTTTATAGTTATTGAATCGAAAGTTTTTTTTTTAAACAAATTTTGGAAACTATTATGTACGCATACGTATAAATAAATTCGTATATATACATATACATACATACATATATATATATATATAAACATATACATATACATACATACATATATATATATATGTATATAAATATATATATATATATATACATATAGATCGTATTATTTTTATATATGTGTTTTGTGGTGAATTCGACGTGACCTTTGTTCTCTATTTTTCATTAACTGTGAACTCTTTTCCCGTACCGATTATCCCGTTACACCAAAGTGTATGAAAAAGTCAGGAAAATTCGTTGATCGTGCGACGAAGGTGATTATGTGAGGAAAAAAATGATAAAAGGAAAGATTTTTTTTTTTTTTTTATTGATAATAAATAGTTTCTTTCGTGTACGCGTACGTTAAGCCCGTAGAATTTTACGGATTTTCTTAGCGTTTTTTCGTAGCACGTGTCGGCGGTGACAGATAGATATAGCGATGGAAAATGGAAATGACTTGAAAGTTATTCCTGGAGGAAAAATTTTCATAGGGGGAAGTGAAATCTTTGGAGTGAGAGATCGTTAATCGTGAAGTAAATTGATTTGGGGAGAAAAAAAGAAAAAATATGGAAAATCGTTATTCAAAAGTATACGATTTCGTCAATAATTTCACTTTCGGTGTTACGCTCGTCAGTTCTGATATATATATATATATATATATATATATATATATATATAAATCTGAAATGAATTTCGACGATCATTAAAATGTAACTTAAGCAATTGACCTCGAAATTTATAGAATATCGCAATATCATCCGTCGTCAAATAGAAAATAAAATGTGCGTTGAATCGATATTATCTTAATTTGACAACAATGATCGCCACAAGTCATTATCATTTTCATGACGTCAATCGTTTCATTAAATCGACCACCCACTTTATTCAAATAAAAATTAATCGCGAATAATATCATTAATAATATCGACTTTAACTTTCGTTCATTCGTAAATTCGAACGATATTGCAATATAGACGTCCGAGGAATAAGAAAGAAAGAAAGAAAGAAAGAAAGAAAGAAAGAAAAAAAAAAGAAAAAGGAAAAAGAAAAAAGCGATTAATTTATTTTTTTGCGAAGGTACAACAACTCTATGCCGTCATTCAAAACTCTCCCGCTATGAAGATGCGAACGGCATCTTCGGACTTTCATTCGGTCGAAAGTGATAGTCTTTAACAGAACACCATGCTCGAGAAAGGAGAGCCTTTCCTCTCGTCTCCTCCTCTTCCTCTTCCACCTCCCTCCTATCACTATCACCATCACCATTACCATCACCACCACCACCACCATCACCACCTTCCTTTCTTCCTATCGATCTTCCGAGCTCCCTCGCTAGTATCTTATTTTAAATTCTTTTCAATTCGTTTCCTGTCTGCACTAATGCGTTCTCGGCATGATATCGTTATTATAATATGTTCAATGCGCATGATCTTCGAAGAAGAAATAGAAAAATCTAAACACGTCGTTCATCATCATCATCATCATCATCATCATCATCATCATCATCATCATCATCATCATTATCATCATCATCGTCATCGTCGTCATCACATATTTTTACCAAAAATACGAAGGTCATTATCTTTCGTTTCCAGAAAGACGTTGTGACGATAAAAAGATAAAGAAGAAAAGAAGAGAAGAGAGGGGAGGAGAGGAAGAAAAGGAAAAGAAAAGGAGAGAAAAAAAAATAAGAAAAAAGAAAGCAGAAAGGACGAAGAAAAATAGAACAACCATAATGAGGTGTACAATGATGACTCTGGTGGCTGCGATCAGCGTTCTCGCATTGGTCAACTCACATCCTGTGCCACAAGAAAGAGGGTTTCGATCTGAGGTAAGTGAATGGGATACAAATTCGAACATTCTTTTCCCTCTCTCTCTCTCTCTCTCTCTCTCTCTCTCTTTCATTTTAACTCTGCCTCTTTCTCTTTCTTTTTTATATACCCATAATAATTAATAACGTTACGTGAACTTTCTAAAAATCGTTCTAACGTATAAGGTATAAGAATTCAAGTGGAAGCAATGCGAAGAACGAATTATACAAGATAAGAAAAAGAAAAAAAAAAGAAAAAAAAAAAGAAAAAAACAATAAAAAAGAAAAAGAAAAAGAAAAAGAAAGAAATAGAGATTGACTTTGTCAATAGTATCATTTAACGTGGAAAAGAAATTTAATGTTGCCATATTTGATTCGGTTCAAGTGAACATTCTATATAACGTATGTACGATAAATTAACTATAGGCACGATGATCAACGAAAAATAATGTAGGATAAAACTATTCGTTGGAAAATCAAATTATTTCACGAGCATTGCCAAATTACGTAATCGAGGGTATTATGACAACTTTCACTGTGTCACTGGGTCATTTTATCCTTTATGGAAAACTGGTCCGGTTCGGTCTTTTGTCTCTCGATGTGCTCAAGCTTGGAGAAAGTTGAATTTCTACGACATTTATGTGTGTATATGTGTGTATATGTGTGTGTACATTCGTCTATATACACACAATTATATATGTATATATATACATATATAAGAGAGATTATGGTGTTCTTGATTGTCGTGGGTACTACCATAAATTAAGTTGTAACAATCGAATTATTAATTATTAATTATTAATTCAAAAGCGATAGTTTGCATCTCAAATCGATCAGTGAATATAAATAAAGATGATGAGAGAGTGAGAGAAAAAAGAGTATAAAAATATATATACACATATATATATATATATATATATATATATATATATATATATATATATATAGTACAGAAAAAAAGAAGGAAAAAAAAAAGAAAAAAAAAGGACTATAATCGAACGTACGTTAACAATGACAATTGATGATCATATTTATCTAGAAATTATGAAAAATCTTATTGTCGTGTTAACGTTAACGTTCGACATTGTAATTATTCAACAAAGGGGAGAAAAAAAAAAGAAAGAGATATCAAACAGTTGCAACTGGTTTGAAAGTTTTATCTTAACGTGACGAAACGGAGTCAGTCACTTGGAAAATTCGAAATTATTGTCCGTAAGAATTAATCCGTCAAAAAGATCGAATTAAAAAGTTGAAAAAGAATCGAGATATTGTTTGCGAGAGAAGAAAAAGATCTAGCCGTTCGATGATTGATCAAAGTCTATGATAAAACATATACTTATGGGGAATACATCTACACGTTTACGTGCGCGCATACAAATCCATACGTGTGCACACATACACACACACATATACACATGCATATATATATATATATATATGTACATAGAAGCAAATAGACAGACGGAATAATGTTGTACGGTCCACAAACGAAATTGCGGGCGTCCAAAGCCATCATGGCTGACTCTCTTCTCGTCTCGTCTCTTTTAGCCCGACACTTTCACTGGCCGCGAACGCTACGAACTCGACGGACACTTTCTTCGAGCTCGATCGATGTGCCCAATGGAAAGTGCAGCCTTATACACATACTACATACATACAAATACATACGCACAGAGTTACACAGACAGTGCATTTTAATGCGATAAATACGAAACGCACATAAGATCTACGATTCGTTCGTGAGAATCGATCTTCGTTCGAATTTAAAAAAAAAAGAAAAAAAGAAAAAAAGCGTTTACTTTCGTACGACGCATAATTTATTTCTAATCCTTTTAAAAAGTACATCGAACGAAATGTCACATGATTTTTTGATCATTTTTTTTTTTTTTTTTTTTTAATTACGAAACAACAATTGCTAAAGATTTTCTCTCTTTCTTTTTTGTTTCTCTTTTGTTTCTTTTTTATTCTTAATCTTTCATTCCATCTGCGAATTTGTTTGATGTCATGATATTTCTAATTTATCTTTTAACATCTCATTGGTATGCCAGAACTATAATAATGTTCTAATACATTATACAACGTCGCATCCCATTAAATCATGTTCGTTTTAATCCTCGAAGGATCATTAATTTTAATTAAAAAAAAAAAAAAAAAAGAAAAAAGAAAAAAAAGGAAAAAGGAAAAAGAAACAACAAAAGAAGGAAAATGTTTATCTTCGCATTATCACATATAATTATTTCAATAATCTCAAGAGTCAACGAATCAATATAATAAATATTATCGACGATATTTGATTATCTTGAATCAAACGTTTTAATGTGCCGTGATCTCGTTAAATGATTTGAAAAATTTCACGACGAAATAAATGATAAAAAGTATATCGAAAATAAATAATAAATAAAACGTTAGCGTTGAATATTCTTCTTAGAAATGGTTTTGGACGAAAACGCGGAATGCGTAAGAGAACGCGAATGAGGTTTGAGGGAAAGTGAAATGTGTTGTGGTCGGTTGAGCAACATCATAGTGTCCTGTCGAGTGATACATGGTAACTCGATCTATTTTATTATCGAATATTTTTATATTATTCATTGGAAAATAAACATTCGAGAAGACAAGTCAATTTTAAAGATTATTGGATTTAACGAACTTGTTTCAATATTATATCGACATGATCAAATACTATAGATGTCGGATCAATGATCTTAAGTATTAAGTGATCTTTCTAATTAGTCAGAATATATAAAAATGTATATAAAATATATAGAATATTTAGAATATATAGAAAGAAAAAGAAAGAGAGAGAGAGAGAGAGAGAGAGAGAAAGAAAGAAAGAGATGGAGGGGAGAAAGAGAAAAAGAGAGATTCGTTAAACATCGACATTGGTAATCTCTAATGAACTTTTTCAAACTTTTAAATCGTAATTGCATTCTCCAAGTATAGTTTACGTTTGTTTCTTTACATATTCGCTTCCACTTAAGCAGACAAATCATTGACTCCGAGAAGTATTTACTTCCTTGATGGTAATACGAATAATTTAGCATTATTATCAATGTTAATGGCCAATGTGTATAAAAATAGAAAGAGGAAAGGAATAAGACTTGACAATTGCAGATTTATTTGACGAGAAAGAGAGAGAGAAAGAGAGAGAGAGAGAGAGAGAGAGAAAAAAAAATAAAAAATAAAAAAAAACATAATACAACGCAAAGAGCCAAACAAAATTTTTTTCAGGCTCTCGATCGATTGTTAATGGTCGAAGCGGACAAGGAAGCTGCACTGAGGAGTAAAAGGACAATCGGTATCCTTCGTCAACTGTTTCCAGACATCTCTCAGGTGAGAGTTAACGCCTGGTAAAAGGGGAAGAAATAACAAAAAAATAAAAAAAAATAAAAAACCAAATTAATAATCCAATTGACACGAGTTAAAAATTTGATAAGATCAATCAATGAGGGCCATTTAAATATATTCACGTAATTACATTAAAATATTATTTCATCGATGATACTCCGAAAGAATTGTTTATTAAAGTTTCGATCAGTCTTTAAATATTATCCATTCGATGTTCGAATGTATTGGTTACACGTACGATGGTGTTCACCTTTCAATCGGAATTAATATTGAGATAGTAATTCGTTTGTTCTTCGTATTTATATTTATTAATCCAATCTCGATGCAATTTGCATGCGGCTCGATCGTCCATCATCTCTACGTAAAAGAAAGAACAAATTTTAGAAAAATCATTTATAACGATTTTTAATCTATTCGATTTCAATTATTCTTCCTTTATACAAAGGTGAAATTGAAAAAATCTATCTGTTGAAATAAATCGATGATCTATGGGTGTTGCTGTTGCTGTGTTAAAACGAGATTTCATCGATTAAGATATTTTTCATTGCTCAACTTATTCTCGAATTTCTCTCTGTTTTCTACACGCCGTTATACATATATATATATATATATATATGTGTGTGTGTGTGTGTGTATATCCTAGATTGAAATAAGACGGCATGACGGTAGCGATTTACTACGGACCGTTTCTTTTTTTGTATGCCGACCGACGCTTTTGCGCGACAGAAATCGATTTGGTAACAAATCGGTTGCAGAAGACCAAGATCGCCATCACTTTGTATTCCGAGATCGTTCTGAATTATTTCAAAATCATCGAATACTCGGCATCGATCCTTTTTGGAAATCATTCTCTAGAACAGTTAGAAGGTTATTCAGAATTGTCATCGTCGTTATCGTCGTCGTCATCGTTGTCGTCGTCGTTGTCGTCGTCATCGTTTTGTCGTTGTTTGTAGGAAAAAGAAACAAAATCAAAAAAAGAAAAAAAAAGAAAAACAAAGGAAGAAAATCATTGCCAAAAAATAAAAAGGGAAACACGAAAAAGAAAAGGGGCAAACGATGCTTCTTCCTTCCGGTTAAGTGATGTTGTTTTTTAGATGATCGATAAAAAGGTGAACGTCATAGTCGCGGAAGTCTTCCGTGTCCTTGGCCCGATCGTACTACGCAACGTCCTTGGCAATAATAATAGCGAAGGTGGAGGTACCAGTACTGGAAGAGCGAACAATGATGGTTCGACCATAATGATAGCATCGCCTTTCGACGACGATCAACAAGACAAGGATAATGACAACGGTACTCGCGTTGATTCGATCGATTCGAACGATTCCAGAATTCCGATTTCTCTTCCTACCTTTCCACCAGACAACAATGAAGTTACTAAGGCATCGAACATTACTACTACTACTACTACTAGTACTACTACTGCTACTACTTCTGCTACAACAACAACAATTGCTACTACTACAACATCAGGAACAATCGAGAATACAACCGATTTCAATACTTCGGTATTGTGATCGTTTGCCGCAAAATTGCGGGTAAAATTTTCGACGACTATTCGATCGTACGATTCTTTTTTTTGGGTCTCGCACTTCACTTCCTTTCTTCTTTTTCTTTTTTTTTTTTTTTTTTTTTTTTTATTTCGCTGCTGATTGTTATCTCGTCACAAAGATGACCGCACACAAAGAATACTACTGCGGAAATTCTTCAATTTGTTTTTCTCGATCTTTATTTTTTTTTTTTTTTTTTTTTTTTTTTTGTTATTTATCTCATTACTCTGTTATTTATATCTATGTCTCCTTTGTATGTCGTGCTAACTCTCATTTGTGTTCTTTTCATCGATGAGACAATTGTGGCTTTTGATTGAATATTTTCTTCATGATGCTTTACCGCGCTCGAAGGACAGCTGCGGTTATCAAATTTATTTTAGATAAAATCGTGATATCTCGAGAGCTCAATGCACACTTTTTTCATTTAACTTTTTGGGTTCTCTCTCTCTCTCTCTCTCTCTTTGTCTCTTCTCTGCTATATATTCACTTTTTTGTTCTTCATTGGAAAATCTAATTCAAATCATGGCAGAAATAACAAAATCCATGTCATCGATCATCGATTATTATCGATTGATCATTTCTCAAAGATGAAATTTGTATTCATTTCATAGTTCGTAAATATGAAAGGTATCTCTCTGTCATTGAGTTATAGCAATGATTTCTATCCTAATTTTTTTTTTGTTCAAAAGACAAAACCCTCCAAAAAAAGGGGAAATGTAAAAAACTGAAAGTAGCAAACAATTGGTATAAATTGATCATGCTTGAACGTAATATAAAAAGTTTAATCGTTTAAAAACGATTAATTAGATATTATAGTGTATACAATGTATAACATTTATTCGTAAGTATCTATGAAAATTTATTACAATGTAACTCTTTGATAGAAGTATAAAAATATCATTTAACTATCGCCATTATCCCTTTTGTCCTTATATAGAATGTTTTAACATTCATATTATATAATACGAAGCAATCGATTATTAATTAGCACTTCATTTAAATCAACCAATTTTAAGACATTATGGGTGAACATAAAATCGCGTGCTTATTCGACTAATAGTAATCTTCCAAGCATCAAAGAATCAATTTTCTCGAGCATATCTCTCCTTTCTATTTCCTTTTTTAACCTTTATATTCGAAAAACGTTATAATTATGTAGTTAAAAGAATAAACGATTAAGATAGAAGAAACTTGAAGAATCATTAGATCTTTATAAACACGAAAAACATCTTAGCCAATCGTTTGAATAATTTAATATGACGAAAGAAGAATAAGTATATAAAGTAACGTGATGTAACGTTGTTTAGAAATCTGAAAAAAAAAAAGATTCGTTTTAACCTTAACGAACATAACAAACGAGATTATTATTTAGAGAATATAATTTCTAGATTTATTTCGTAGCTTTATAGGCCATTAGAATAACAAGTCAAGTCTCAAGGTTTATTTCTTACTAAACATAAAAATCAAGGAAAATGAAAGAAATAAAACAGACAAATTTTGTAACTTGCTCGACAACGAAATTCTTTGATGCTCGAAAGTTTCATATATACATACATGTATATATATACATATATATATACTGAGTCATAGTATACAGAGTGAGTCCAGTAACTGGACTTTGTTCTTATTGAAGATGATGCAAAAAAAGATTTGTAGAGTAAAATGTTGCATTGCTTACGAAACTATTGTCATTGTGTAATGCGATTTTTGACAAAAGTGCATCGATGCAGATTACAAAATGCAATTGCAGTTGCTTTATTACACGAGACTCTACATATTTTTTTTTCTTCGCCTTTTTCTTTCATAAATTGATTTCCCCTCGTACCATTCTGAATGAAAAGGTATTGGAATATAATATCGGAAAATAATTGATTCGCGAGATATTTCATATAATATCGTTTGATGATTTTATATAACTCTTATGAGCCGTATATTTTTTTGAGATTGGATTTTTTTTTTTTTTATATTTGAGATTGGAAAAAAAAAGAAACGAATGATTCAGGATGGACTGATATATTCACGGGTACATATTTTTTCGCACGCGAAAAAAAAAAGAAAAGAAAAAAGAAATGAAATATGGCAAAGGACATAAATCTATCTATGAAACGTTTTCTTTTAGGACGTGAATCCTGAAGCAGAGAATCGAGTTAACGAGGTTGGGTCTGAATCACAGAACAACGAAGTACGAGTGCAATTTGCCGACGAACAATCAGCGAATGAGGCGGTACCAAATTTGACACCATTGGAGGACGTCGAAAGTAGCGACGACGAGAACAGAAATAAAAGGTTCTTGAACTTTGGCTTAGGGGCAAGTGCAGGTGGCAGCGGAGCAGGCTCAGGCAACTTCCTTTTTGATATAATCAGAGTAAGTTAATGTCTTAATCATTAAGAAATAAGTTTATCATTACGATCTTAGAAGAGATTTAGAAATCTTTTTTTTCTATATTTCTTTTCACATATCATCCTATACGAAGCAAAAGATATATTTAATAAACATACGTTATATGTTAAGCAATGAATTGACATACGATTGTTACTTAATTATTCGTAATTGATTGAATTATATTGATCATTTTAAAACTGTAAATATTGTTTTGTATAAAGCAGAAAAGTTAAACATTTATATATACTTTCTTTATCGATGGAATTAATCGGTATGATCTATGAATGACTCCATACATTATTTCGTACGATAATATTCTTAACAACATTATTACGTAAAATATTTATTATGTAAAAAAAAAAAAAAAAAAACATTTCTATGTAAATTTATATATTAAAAAAAATTTTCGTTTCGTATAGGCATACTAATGACAATTAATTAAATAAGTTAATGTCGTAAAGTCATTATAAATATTTTACTTATATTATATCTTTTATATATATATATATATATATATATATATTTATTTATTTAAATAAAACGAAGAGTTTCGATTTTGAATTCTCTTCGAGCACATATTGGTAAGTCGTGTAATAAGAGACAGGTACGTTAGTGCGGGCAACGACGACAAGGGCGTCTAGTGCAGTGACGGCAGTGAAAGTAAAACCAAATTGCTAAGCCGTCTAGCTCCTATTCCAAGGTTCCTGACCTAGGAATGGCCTTAGCTCCCTCGAAGATCGACGTGCACGGAATATCACGACATTCGCTGCGGTTACGAGCCAATAGATCTCGTTTGAGTTTTCGTTCGAAAAAGAAGAAGGGAAAAGAAAAAGAAAAAGAAAACGAAAAAGAAGAAAAAAGAAAAAAAAACGAAAGAAAGAAAGAAAAGAACGTAGAAAAGAAAGGAAAAAAGATATTTAAGCTAAAACTCGTTGCTACGTTATAAAAAGAAAAAAAAAAAAAAGAAAAGAAAAAGAAAAAAATATCTTCATTATTACTTTACAAGAAATGATTTAATCTGTTGCAGATCAATATACAAATATAAATATATAAATATATAATTATAACAAAATAATAGTTACTAAGTAATAGGGAATGATTATGAACGACATTCGTTAGGAAATCGCGATTGATTGATCGACCGATCGATCAATCAATCGCGATCGAGATTTACAAGACGAATTGCGTTAATTTCAAGAAAAATAAACGAGAAACAGAGAGAAATAAAGAGGGAGAGAGAAAGAGAAAAGAAAAAAAGAACAATATGATACCATTCGTAATAAAATTAATAACACTCTCAAGATATCTCTGTATTATTATAAACGTATCACAATTTGTCTTTGTAAATTCGTAAAGATTAAGGCCACCGATTGATCAGAGGAGTACAATTTTAAAAGTTCTCTATGAATGAAAATATTAAAAAGGCAAAAGCTTTAGTAACGAGAGAAAGACTTTTTCTCCGGAGTACCGTTAAGATTATAATTTTTTCAGCGACAAAAAAGGCAATCTATACACGACGAGAGACAAAAGGTAGCGCGCTAATTAGTGATAAAAACGATATGAAGGATTTAAAACAAGAAGGGTGAAAAGAAAAAATAAAAAAAGATGATAATAATAATTAAAAAAAAAAAAAAAAAGAAAAAAAAAAAACAAGATGATGATTGAAAGAAAAATACGAAAGAAAAAAAAAGAAAAAAGAATAGAAGGAATGAAAAATGATGGTAATTAAAAAAAAAAAAGGGAGGAAAAAAAAAAGAAAATAAAAAGAAATAAAAACGAGGAAGGAGAAAAAGAATGGAAAAGTTTATTAAGGAGATTGATAAAGTTTTTGATTGGATAAACGGATATTGAATAAACGGAACGTTTTCTCGTGTTTGTTCTCGTGTAGCAAGCAGCCGACGGGGCGGCAAGAGCGGCGGGCACGGTTTACCGCGTTGTCGCCGGCACGCAGAGCCTAGGGCTCGGTCTTAGCGCCTCGCGAGACGTCGCTGCCGCCGCCCCTGCTGCTGCTGCTGCTGCTCCTGTTGCTTCCTCCACCCCTGGCGCACCCTCGATGGCCGATGCATCCTCAACAGCCGCCCCTGAGTCAGCAGCCGGCACTCAACCACCGGTACGAGACCATCACAAAATCCTTCCGACCATCGCCAACGGCCAATTATAATCTCATTAATTACTTACTCACTCACAAAACATATACATACTCTTTCTTTCTCTCTCTCTTTCTCTTTCATGAACATACTCTCTTTCATTCTATCTTTTCCAACTTTTCCAACTTTTCCAACTTTTTTTTTTTCTGCTGATCAATATCATCCATCTCTTCCCATTTTATTTTCATGTGTTTAACAAGCTGTTGTCTGCTAACAATTTGCAAACGATATATAAAAAAGATTTATTTTTATAAATTCGGATCTGGTCAGGATTTTGAAATAATTGTGACAATGGAGAAAACGATCTTTCAGAAAATTTATATTCAACAAAATTTGTATTAATTTGTTTTATTTCATTTTTCTTTTTTTTTTCTTTTTTTTTTTCTTTTTCTTTTTAAGTCGACTTCGCCGATTATCCATTTTTGTGTTTTCAAATAAAACGTTGATTTATCTTCCGTTTCGTATCGATACGTATCGATAAATCATTTCATTATTGAAACCAATCGTAAATATACGATTCGATTGAAATCATAAATTTGAAAGATAAACAAATCGTACGATCGTACATATCAAAATTTCGATCAAATTTTATAACGTGAATAATTTATATTACGTATTCGTGATTAAAGATAATTAATGACGGTTGAATAATCATGGATATAATCAAATTGCCTTTTGATTTGAAATATATTAACGTCGATTTAACGTTACAATATAAAAGAAGATTATAAAAAAGCTGACAATAGATCTTCCTGTCTGACTTTCGAACCGCAAAACGTAGATTACACATTAACGCATCTCACATGTCTATGTATATACATATATAGATATATATATATATATATATATATATATATATATACATAAATACATATATATATATATGTATATATGTATGTATACACACGTAGCACGCATGCATGCAGATAGATAAAACGCTTTGCTTGTGGATGGTTCTGAACGTTTTTAAGTCTTCGCGCTTTCTATCGTCGACTTAACATAACTCATACGATCTACACTATATTGGTTATAAGAGCCTTTTCCTTGTCTGGACTCTATCACGTTTTTCCCTTTCACCGTTTATCTCTATTTTTATTACATACATATATATATATGTGTATGTGTGTGTATGTACATGTGTATGTATATATATGTATCTTTATTCTATGCTTTCAACGTTATTTGTGTAATTCGTCCATGTATGTATCTCTATCGTGCTCCAATTCTATCCATCTCTCTTTATATATATATATATATATATATATATATATATATATATATATGTATATTCTTTTAAAAATATTAAAAAACGTGTCAAAACATTAATTTACTTTCTTATTTAAACAATGAGATAATAATATTTTTTTACGTGATCAAAAAAAAATTTCTTTTTCGTTAATCTTCTTATCTTTCAATATTTTTAACATTGTTTCTCTCTCTCTCTCTCTTTCTTTCTATCTCTCTGTCTATCTTTTTTTATATTTCTTTCTTCTCTTCATAATGTCAAACTATACAGCGTTTGATATCCACGATTTATTCATCTTCGTGCTTTCTCTCTCTCTCTCTCTCTCTCTTTCTCTTTCTTGGTAAATATCGTCTCTTATTCTGCTTTCCTTCACACGCTCGAATCCTTTTCCTATAAAAATTCATGATCCGTCCGTTCCACCCCGGCCACAACGGTCCCGACGCAACGCCGACGATCACCGACTAAAGAGGCACGCACACACTGTTTATTTGCCGAATGCAACTGGCCCCAATTGATGTACACCTATTATCTCCTCGTCACGTGGAATCGCATTTCTTTTTCTTTTAATTCTTTTCTCTTTTTTTTGCTATATAAATAATTATATATATAAATATATATATATATGTATAATTATTATAATTAATAATATATATATTAATTATATATATAATATATATATAATATATATATAATTATTATAATTATATAATATATATAATAATTATATATATAATATATATATGTAATTATTATATATATATAATATATATATATATAATTATTATATATATAAATATAATAATTATATATGTATAATAATTATATATATATATATATATATAATTATTCGGTATATATATATATATACCGAAACTCTCGCCAGGAGTATTGGATAATTAATTAATCGATTAATTAATTATTAATCTTCGTTGTCTCTCAGCGATCTCGTTTAAATCTTGCACCTGTAATATATTATGTTCTTTTTTTTAGCGACTCAGTAGTAGTAGTTGTTGTTGTTGCTGCTGCTGTTATTGTTGTTGATGTATTTTGTATTTATTTCTTTGGATTTTCCTTTTGTTTTTTTCTTTTTCCTTTTTTTTTTTTTTTTTTTTGTTTAGCACACAAAAGAAGAAGAAGAAGAAGGAGGAAAAAAAATAATAATAATAACGCAAGAAAACGAACGAACGAGACGAGCCGAAACCGATTTCCGATTTTGATATCAAACATTTCGATCTTTCCAATGGATAATCATGAAATCAGCTCGATCGTTTGTACGTTGCGCTACCATCACGTAGCCAAGTAGTTTTTATTGTAATATCCGTTGTAATAACCGTTCACATACGACGTACGCTCTCAGAATTTTATTATTATTTGATTTTGTATATTTCCTTTTACTTTTTTCCTATTTTCTTTGTTTTAACACGAGAATTATTAAAGTCGTCTTTCTCTGATGTTGAATTTTCTAAGAAATCCTTTTGAACTTAACGAAGAGCTTACGACGTCATTGACACTTTTCTACGGATATTCTCTCGTAGATATCATTATCATCATCATCATCATCATCTTTCTTCATTGGTATATCACCCTGCGTCGATATTCATCAACGACACGCCTCGTAGATAATATAAATTACTTAGATCACGAAGCCGGTAGTTAATCGTAGCACGTAAGAAATTTTAGCCAGCAAGATCGATGGAAAAAGTATATATATATATATATATATATATATATATATATATATATGATGTGAATGATTATGAACAATTAGATTTAAGCATCGTTTTTCGAAAGAAAAAGCACAACGTAGTGTCGGGAGCGCTGGAGCTGGACGTGGAGCCACAACACACTGTAATTATATCCTAACAAAGCAAACAAGCAAGCAAGCAAGCAAGCAAACAAAGAAACAAGCAAGCAAGCAAGCAAACAAACAAACAAACAAACAAGCAAAGTAAAATATGTAAAGTAAAACAAAGTTAGAAAAGAAAAGACGAAAAAAGATGATATCAAACGTTATTTTCTCTCTCTCTCTCTCTCTCTCTGTCTCTGTCTCTCTCTCTCTCTTTCTTTCTGTCTCTATCTATCTTCTTTTCTTTTTTTCTATTATTTTTCTTTGACTTTCTTTTATTGTGTTTTACTTGATTTCTTTTTCGTTTTAACCCTTTGAACTCGATCTTTCTTTTTGTTCTTTTCTGGTCGAATGTATTTCTTCTCTCTGTGTTTGGCATGATGAAAAAAGAAAAAAAAAAAAAAAGAAACGATAAATAAATAATCCGTTTGTTATCTGTGTTCGATATAACCGATACTAAACAAATAAATAAACAAAAATAATCGTTCGAATAATAATAATGCAACCTCTTAACACAGTTTACTGATCATTGTTTTTCAGCTCACGATCTATAAAAATTGACTCAACAAGGATGTTCTGTTTAAAATAAATTTCTCTTGTTGTCTAATACCATGGTGTAAATGAGTTAAAAGGGTTAAATCTCTTTTTTGTCTCTTCTTCTCAACTTTCTTATTTATCGTCGTTCTTCTCGAGAAAGAAAATTTCTCTCTCAAATATATATATACATATATATATATATATATATATATATATATATATATGTATATGTATATATATTTCTTCTCCGTTAACTTTTCGGCATCTGGTAAAATCAAATTCCTTCATCATCATAACTTCTTTTTTTTTGAAATGTCCTTTCAGCTGGTAGCAGGAAGCGGTAGTCAAAGTAATTCATCTGGCGATGCTTCCGCCGGAAGGACAGATGGTACACAAGAAGCTGTACCTGGACCTATCACCAGGCTCTTCGTTATTGCCAATCGAGGAATATCGAATCTTCTTCAAGATCTCATACTCGTAAGTAAAAAATTACATTAAATACAATTTAATTTATTTCATATTTTTCTTTTCAATTGTCAATGTTGAAACATCAATGCATTATCTTTTTTTCTCTTCCATGAAAAATTATTTTCAATTTACATTTAAAATGTTTATGATCGATCAATTTAATGAAAGTAATCTGTAAGTATTTTACGTACAATAGTTTTACTTAAAATGCAACTTTTATTTTTTAAGAGGAGAACACAAAAAAAAAAAAAAGAATAATCTTCGATATCTCTATACTGTAAATTATTAGAAAAACGACGTATTTATTATCGTATTCGACAAATTTCGAATGTTTCGCAATCAGAAGAAAAATAATTCCACGAATTTCATACGTTCCTTAATTAACTTCTAATACTTGCTAGGTCATCGAAAAAAGAAAAAAGAAAAAAAAAAAGAGAAAGAAAAAAACAAATCTATTTTACAATTCATAGTTATTTATAGACAAACATTCTAACGATCTGGTTTTTCAGCATGATCGAAAAGCCACGATACGTTTGATCGAATAAAAATTCACGTCTACTTACTATTTATCCGTCCGTCCGTCTCTTTTTCTCTCTCCTGTCTCTTTCTCGCCACGTTAACACACACGTTTAAGAAGTTAGAAAGTAATCGACCATCATTTTTCCTCCTCTCTCTCTCTCTCTCTCTCTCTCTCTCTCTCTCTCTTCGTTTTATTCGTTTTAACATAGCGAACGTAAATTCGTGAGATCATATTTTGAATAAACATGAATAAAAAGTAATACGAGTACAGAAATCGATCTATTTGCTCGCTCGACATAATGTCGACGTTTTACCAGTAAATAAAACCTTTCATTAGACATAAATGATTCTGCGACAACGCAATCCAAGCACCAATACATTTTTTTAAAAACATGTCCATTATGAACTTTGAGTTATCGAAGGAAACACGTCTAATTAATATTCGGTGGCAACGATCTCTCCAAGGAGACATTAGACTGGACTCCAAGGAGACATTGGACTGGACTAAGAAACAGATATAGAAAATCTAGAAGAAAGAAGATAAAAAAAAAAAAAAGAAAAAAGAAAAAGTATCGTCCGACGATCGATTAATATTAAAAAGAAAAAAAGAAAGAAAAAAAGAAAGAAAGAAAGAAAGATCGTAGGTTAAAATCGTACGTGTAAAAAGCAAGTATCGTCCAAGATGATCGATTAATCTTATACGATTAATAATTTTCGACAGTATCGACGATCGTACGAAATTGAAAAAAGAATCAAATCAAATCGCGTGTACGTTCGAAGTCGTGCTTTATTTTTCTTTTTTTCTTTTTGTTACTTTTTCTTTTTGTTTTTTTTTTCTTTTTTTTTTTTTTTTTTTTTCTTTTGATACTGGTGGACAGGAATGAACGAACGAACGAACGAACGAACGAACGACAGTGCTACTTCGTTCTAGATATATAAACCGGGCTATTACGTAAGCGGCCCGTGTCAGGATCGATGGAAAGCAAAAATGTAAGCGCGACTTTCTCTATGAAACGGCTCCTCTGTTCGTTCGCCACCGTCGTACTCGTGTCAGACTTATGCAAGAAGCAAGTCCACTTCGCCTCCTGGCACGCGAAATCGCGAAAGGGTGAGGGGGTTGAGGAGGAGGGGGAGAGTTCGAAGGGGAGCGACGTATATACATATACAAAGAGAATGACGTGTGTTTGACTCCCGTTATCTCGAGAAAAAAAGAAAACAAAAAAACGAAGAAAGGATTTCATTTGTCCGTTAACGAGACTTCGATACAGTTAAACGGGGAAGAGTAAAAAAAGAATCGCGAGAAATCGATTGCTGATGCTGAAACGATTATTTCTTTCTCTCTCTCTCTCTTTCTCCATCTATCTATCTGTTTTTTTTTTATCTTTTTTGTATAGGCGACGCCTTTCTAAAATCAACTTCGTGTAGCACATACGTGTGTCGATATTATAAGTTCCACGTAGATCGTAAGAAAATGATTTTCTTTGTCGAATCGAAAACGAAACTTGTCGAACGATAAGAAAGAATTATGATTTTCTTTTAAAATTAGAAATAAGAATAAAAATAAAAGTCAAAAATAACAATAAAAAATATAAACAGATGTAGAGATAAACAAAAAAAGAAAAAAAAAAAAAAAAAGGAAGAAATGGAAATGTCGTTTCGTTCCGTTTGACTTTGCAATTATCGACTAAAACTAATAATATTTTTTATTTGATAATTTTTCAGCGCTTAGCTGCCACAAGCGAACGTATCGTCAACTTCAAGGCACGATTAATTACCTCGATTATTTAGGCTCGTTTAAAGAAAATATTATGATACAGATCTATGAAAACATTCGTGAGTCTTCGTAGAAATACACGTAACGAATCGTGATTCGAGAAAAAGCCACCATCACCGTCACATCTGCTCCCCCTTCATGCCGGAGGACCACTGGGTACGAAGTCGACAACATTATCGACATATTTTTTTTCTTTCATCTCTCTCTAGCTCTCTCTCTCTCTCTCCCCTTATTTTTCTACATTATACCATTTCTCCAGACTTTCTATACGTCGAATGTTGTCCCCTTTGTCCCGGAGATCCATAAAAAAAAAGAAAAAAAAAAAAAAAAAAAAAAGAATAATTATTCTCGTCGATTATTGCTCCATACGATGTTTCTTCTCTCTTTCTTCTTCTTCTTCTTTTCTTTTTTTTTCAAAATTATACTATAACCAATTATTTTTAATTCATACTTCCAACTTCCCCCTTTCATTTCTGCTATTCGATTAATTTCATCGTCTTTCCCCTCCCCCCCTCCCACCCACCTTAGACGATGGACGATTAATCACTTTTACGAATCTATGAAGAAATTAAAAGAATAATAAAAAAGAAAAATGATAATAATAAAAACAAAGAATTTCACAAGAGAACGTGTCTTATGCTGTTGCGACGATTAAAAGAAAGAGAAGAAAAGGAAAAAAAAAAAAAGAAAGAAACGATTTATCCTCTCTAATTGAAGCTTATCTCGCACGATTAGAACTATCGCATAAGATGCGCTTATTTCGATGATCGATGAGAGAGAAAAAAAAAAACGACGAATTGCGCCTACGTAACGTTGTTCTGCAAAGTTTTGTACATAGACCTGTGCCCCCGCCCCTCAACCGTCGTATAACCACTGCCCGTCTCTTCTAAGAACCACGTTCCACAGCGCCAGACACTGATTGTTTTCCTTTTTATTTTTTATTTTTTATTTTTGTTTATTTTTCCTTTTTTAATTATTATTATTATTATTATTATTATTATTATTATTATTATTATTATTATTATTATTATTATTATTATTATTATTACTACTACTACTACTACTATTATTATTATTATTATTCCATATCATCTCTCGATTAAGTGCAAGCGTACCTCTTTGCCCGTTCCTCAAGTATTTTTTTTTTTTTTTTTTTTTTTTTTTTTTTTTTTTTTTTTTTTTTTTTTTTGATAGACGAAACAAAAGAGAAAATAAATAAATAAATAAATAAATAAATAAATGAAAACAAACGTAACAAAGAATAACGTCATTGAGCGTTTATGATCATATTGGAAAAAGTGAATAAATAAATAGAAAGAAAAAAATGAAAAAAGAAATAATAAAAATTATGGTGGAAGGGTTTAGGTTTCTTCTGTTCTCTCTTTCTTCTCTTCTTCTTTTCTTTTGCCCTTTTATCCTTTTTCCTTTCTTTCTTTTTTTTTCTTCTTCTTCTTTTATACTTCCTTTGGTCTCGTTAATTCTATGTAAATTCGTACAATTCGAATAAACAGATCATTGTTTAAATAATACAGACTACATTGAATTTTGATGTTAACGAGTAATATACATTATTTCGAAGATCTATTTGTCTAATTCTTCGTTTGCAATCTAATTTAATTCAACGTAAGTACGCACTTATGCATAATATTTACGTAAATACTTATTCGTAATAAAAATTACGTAAGTATTTATTCAAATGCTCAGAATACGGAATTAATGTTTCTCTCTCTCTCTCTCTCTCTCTCTCTCTCTCTCTCTCTTTTACTCTCTTTCTCTCTCTCTCTCTCTCTCTCTCTTTGAAAACTTCTAAAGAGAATAATATAGAAAATTCAAGGAGACAATTGGTAACGTCGTGAAAGAATGTGTTTTCTTATGTTATAACAAAACGAAACGCATTATATTTATGTATGTAAATCGAACCTCGTTGTTTTGTAGTGTAAATAAATATTATTGTAATAAGAAATACATCTAGTGTATATTAATTTTTTTTTTCTTTTTCCTTCTTTAAATCGACTTTACGATTTAATAAGATCAATTAAAAAATTATCTCAATTATCAAAGAATTTGTTCTTAATCGATAACATCTTTTGTACAAAGTTATCGTTATTCGACATTCATTCATTCCCTTTTGTTTTTTTTTTCTTTTTTCTTTTTTTTTTTTTTTTGAAAAGCGTATCGATTAAATAGTAAATAGATCTAATTAACGTAATTCTAACCATCGTATAAAAATATAACTCGCTAATCCAGTAATACTCATAACGATGGAGACTCTTTCATATATATATATATATATATATATGTGTGTGTGTATATATTGCCACTACTAATCTATTTAAATACGACGATAAAATAATTAATTAATCTAATTAGCAAAGAAATTTCATTATGAATCGTCGGTACGTATACTCTTGATTATGATGACTTTTGTTGGCACCATTATGTCGAAAATATTCGAAATATTTTTTATTAATATTATTGCTAATAAATCTTAATAAGTACGTTTTTTCGTCTAATCTATTTCGAAGTTCGAAAAGGAACAACACGTTGAATATAATTCTTTTTTTTATATCTCCCCCAATGTAAACACGTCACGTTTTATGGTCTCCAACGAGAGAATTAACTTCGTCAAAAATAATTTCATCCTCGCAGGAGGCCCATCGGTGTAGCTATGGTGGCGATATTACAGGGGTTTCTTCCTCGTTTGGAATACCAACGTAAACTGAATCTCCTAAACGTACAAAACCATTTGGTCCTCTTAAACCAAGATGAATTCCCATGACTGGACAATCTCCAGTAAACGGACGAATATCCGGATCCATGATTTGCCTATAGCTGCATAAATAATATATATATATATATATATATATATATATATGTAACAAAAAAAATTATTTATCATTAAATAATATCTACATAATAGTTTTTCGTTCGTTTCTAATTTTACTTATGATACTACTTTAATTAAGACAAATTTGAATGACTAATATTACTTATGAGACAACTGTTGTTACAAATATTTAAAAAGACAAAAAAAAAAAAAAGGAAAAAAATTTATCAAAACTCATAACAAACAATGAAAATTATCAATTGATGTTTGATTAAATCAATGCTGATTAATCATGAAGGAAATTCATTTATAAAAATTTAACACAATTTCTATACCTTTTCAATGTTTTTAAAGGTTCGACCTTTGGACTTTTTTTACCAGTTTCTGGATCAACCGTGGTAAATATACATCTTGTGCAAGGTTTAATGTTTCTAAAAATTACGTCTCCTATCTTAACCCAATCCCAAATATCTTCTTCCAAGGCGATCGCTCCTTTAACGACAAAATTTGCTCGAAAGTTCGACGGTGTAACAGATTCTTCCAATCGAGAATTTAAATCCGTGACCGAGGACTCATTTATGAGACTATAGCTCGTAGCATCTGGATAAGCACCCTATTGAAAGAGAGAAAGAAAATGAATAGAAAAAGGAAAAGAAAAATAATGTTAAATAAATTATAGTTATCGTATAATCGAAGGATACTTAATGGAATAAAAAAAATTTATCGATGCGTTACATTTGTTGATGCAATTAAAGTAATAACTACAATTCGTCTAATGCGATTTTAAAACGTGCTCAATGAATAAGATAATACGATAATAATAACGATGATAAAAGATAACAATAATAATAACGACGATTCTTATTCTACTTTCCGTACATTCTTCGAAAGCAAAAGAGAATATAATTCAAATAAATATATATATCTGCATGAGAAATCGTACTAATACATATATATACATGTATGTATGTATGTATGTATTATGTATATACACGCTCTATTTTGTGAAAGATAAACTAACTCACGATGACAAAGTACAATCGATGGAAAACTATGCGGATTTCATTTCGTGAAAGCAATTCCACGTTCCCATTTAACGTTCAACGTTCGTCTTCATCGCACATCTACAAGGTAGGTATTCCATAGAAAGAAAGTATAAAAAAAAAAAGAAAAAGAAAAAAAAAAAGAAGAAGAAGAAAAACTACTTTTGATTGACACTACTCACGGTATCTATGCTCTCGGTCAAAGGGAAAATCCTATTTTTCTCTCGTATTTCTCTTGATGGTCGTTCTAACGGATAATAAACCAAACGAAGACCGGCATCTTCCTGAAGGAGAAAACGTGACAACCATCTGGCTGCTTCTTCTCCACAATCGCAAGCAGCTACTGCTTGACCCCATACCGCAGCACGAAAACCTTTTCCTCTTATACAAGCAAGATCTATTGATACCGACATCATGCCTGGTGCATTCAAGGTTAAAACTGAACCCGTAATACTTGGTGATACCTATGGATAATATCAATGTATTATTATTACGAACAGTAATATTAATTTGTTTTTTTTTTTTTTTTTTTTTTTTTTTTTTTTTTTTTTTTTTTTTAATATATATATATATAATCAATTTTAATAATTATATCATTTTTAATAATCTTAATAGTTAATAATTAAATTGAAATTATAATTAAGAAATCATACTTGAAGAATAATTATTAATAAATTTAATAATAAATATTAAGATGTGTATGATAATCGAAGATAAATAAAATTATCTATATAAGATAATATCTTTAATAAAATCGTTTTGATACATTATTGATGTATTACCTGAACCATTTTTGGTAATTGTCTACCAGTGACAAAGTTTCCATCAAGATCAATAACCATTAATGTACGATCTCGTAACCATCCCACTCTAAGGCCCAACATAGTACATTCCATCGACGTGTATCTAATTGGGCCCAATGATTTCACCGGATATGCAGCAAGATCGCTAAGTTCACCGACCTTTCTCCATTTCGAAGGTGCCCGATACTTTTGTTTGCGACTCCACCACCACCAAATAAAAAAAACTGCTGTACCGGCGCCAACTGCGGCTGCGGTAACATAAGCGAGTCTCGTTCTATCTGTCGTAATAATAAAATAAAATAAATGAACATTACGATAATAAATTAATTGTGATTTAAATGTTAACGGGGAAAAGAGTAAGAAAAGAAAAGAAAAAAAAGAAAAAGAAAAAAAAAATAATGAAAATAAATCGTGTCCATTAACGTGTCTTTAAAAATATATTGAACACATATTATGTAATCATATAACAAAGATAATTGGAGATATCTTAAATTAGTATCATTTAGAGTCAACCGTCGTCCTACAAAACATTTCAAAGAAGCGGATGTTACGGAACTGACTTATACTTATACTTGCTACAATCATACTCATACACCGTACATATACGCGCGCGCGCGCGCGCGCGCCCACCCACATAGAAAAGAAAAAGATTTAAAAAAGTTTCGAGTGAAATATTTGACGTTAAATTTTCCGCTCTCGATGAAAGTACTTATTTAAAACTTTCGACTTTTTGTTGAAATTATCGTGAAACAGAGCACAAACATTCCAATTGCCAGCAAGTTTCCTCTTTCAAGTCCATCGTTTTTTTTTTCTTTTTTTTTTTTTTTTTTTTACATGCATGGCCGGTAACGCGAAAGTGTAATGAAAATATCCGAAAGATAAAAAGGACCGGACAATTTTATATTTCAAATTGAAGGAGGATGCGAAGTACTTAATTACTTATTTACTAAGAACTTTATTGATTTATTCATTCGATCTGAAATTAATTATAAATAAAATTTTGACGATCCAAATGCGTAATAACATTTTGAAGAAATTCTTCTAAAAGGAAATTATAATAAATCGGTAGACTGATTTCATAGTTGAAAACTGTGTTAAGTGATCGTTAAGAGAAAGAAAATGGTATTAACTGAGACGATGGTATTTGACCTTGCCATATATTATTAATATGACATTATTAATAAAATTATATGACACGAGACAAATTGTTATATTTCAAAATTGTATTAAAAATTCAAAATCAATTTTCTTTATTTTCTTTTCTTTTCTTTTTTCTTTTTTTTTTTTAATCATTTCCATTTATTCGTTCATTATTTTTTATTAATTGATAGTAAGTACTTTGTTAAATAAATGATTAATATATATATATGAGTATATTTATAATAAAATATTTCTATAGACCAATATTTATAATAAAATAATAGTACGTAATATAAGTGATCATTATAAATAATTAAATATCTGTGTTACGTTTGGATTAAATTTGGATTTATTATAATTATTA